GGCAGCGGGCGGATGCGGCGAGCGAGCGAGGCGAGCCGCTGGGGCGGGCGCAGTGGCGCGACCGCGGGGCGAGCGATGGAGGCACGAGCACGACAAGGCAGTAGCAACAACACTAGACGGGGTTGCAGCGGGGAAGCGTAGCGGCTGGCGGTAGGAATCGGGTGAGGGCCGGCGGGTGCAGCAGGGTGCCGCCGGGGGCGGGCGAGCTGGCCTGTGGGCGAAGGAGGTAGCAGCTCGCAGCAGCAGGCAAGCACGGGCGGGATGGGACGGCCCGAGAGCGGCAACGCGGCTGCAGTCATCGCACGGGTGCGGTGCAGGGGAAGAGGTAGGACGCGGGGCTACGCGGGCGCGAGAGGGGTTGGCCTTGACGTGCGTGGGGAGCGACGGGCGCAAGCGGGCGCCGACGTGTGCGAGGCCAGGCGCGCGGCCAGAACGACCCAGGGGCCAGGGAGCGCGGCGGGGCAGCAGAGGGGCCGTGCGATCGCGAGCTCGGGTGTGGGGATTCGCGGGCGAATGGAAGCACGAGGGGGGTTAGGGGAGAAAGGGAAGCTCATGGGGCCCTGTAGTCGTGCGAAAGCGAGCTCGGGGAGAGCCGGGAGACGTCGGAGCAGCGAGGGCGATGCGGACGGCGACAGGGACGAGCGCGGTGGCCTCGACGTCCACGGGCACGGCGACGTCAACGGGGGAGGGTGGACGGGGGCGCGAGGGAGGAGAGGGGGTTAGGGTTTGGCGGGGCGAGGGCTTAAGTAGCCGGGGCGGCTCGCCGGAGGGGGAGTCGATCACGAAGGGCTTCTATATCATCCTTGCAGCCCTTTTGATGGTGCGTGAGTAGTTCATCATAGACCTACGGGTCCGTAGCTAGTAGTTAGATGGCTTGTTCTCTCTTTAATCTTCAGTACACTGTTTTTGGAGTTCTATTTGATGTAATCTTCTTTTCTGGTGTGTTTGTTGGAATCCGATGAATTGTTGGTCTATGATAAGGTTATTCATGAATATCAATTGAGTCTTCTCTGAACTTTATTATGCATGACCATTATAGATTTGTATTTCTCTCCGATCTATCCGTTTAGTTTGGCCAACTAATTTGATTTATCTTGCAATAAGAGAGATGCTTTATGATGAGTTTAATCTTGCGGTGCTCTATATCCCAGTGATAGAAAGAGACAAGACACATATTTGCATTGTTGTCATTAAGCATAAAATGACGGGGTTTATTCATATTGATTGGTTGTACTTTGTCTAAATCATGTCATCTTGTTTAAGGCGTTACTCTGCTTTATACTTAATACCATAGATACATGCTGGATAATGGTCGATTGATGGAGTAATAGTCGTAGATGCAGGCAGGAATTGGTCTACTTGTTTCAAACGTGATGTCTATATACATGATCATCGCCTTGTATATCGTCATAACTATGCGATTTTCTATCAATTGCCCAACAGTAGTCTGTTCACCCACCGTATGCTATGTGTTCGAGAAAGAAGCCTCCAGTGAAAACTATGACCCCCAGATCTATTTTTATCATATGTAAAAGCGCAAAAATACGTTGGTACATTTTTATTTCTTTTATATTGTTTTGCAATTTACTTTATTATCTACCACTATAAAATTTAATCCTTACAAGTAGCCACCGAGGGGATTGATAACCCCCTTGTTTGTGTTGGGTGCAAGTTTTTGTTTTTATGTATACAGGTGTTGCTAACAAGGTTCTGTGTAGTTTTTCTATTGTATTGATAACCTTGGTTCTTAACTGAAGAAAATACTTATCTTTATTGTACTACTTCATTATCTCCTTTTTGAGAAAATCTCAATGCAGCTCACAAGTAACAGTAAGGTGGAGAGGTAGCGCCATGTCTCGCTTATAGCGAGACTTAACATGCTAGTCGTGCGGGAGGCCATGACCTCATTTCTTTTTTTTCATGTTTTTTGTTTTTGTTTTTTATTATCTTATTTCTTTAATTTCATTTATACTTTCAAATATTCTAAATAAATATATTACACAAAACAATTTCCATAAAAGTATTTAAAAAATGTTAATCAAGCATTTGAATTTTTAAATGTGTATAAAGCAAATGTACAAAAACGTATACAGAACATATACAATGTGCATGAAATTTTTTTATCATCTATTTAAAAAATGTCAATCGAGCATTTGAAATAAAGCTAATCACGTATTTCAATTTTTTTAATCAAGCATTTAAAATTTGTTATAGAAGAAATATTGACCATGTATTCAAAAAATGTTTAAGTTGTATTTGAAAAATGTTAATCGAGCATTTGAAAAATGTAAAATATGTATAGAAAAATGTTGATCATGTATAAAAAAAGTTAATCAAGCATTTGAAAAATGTAAAATGTGTATAGAAAAATGTGATCATGTATACAAAAAAGTTAATCTTGTATTGTATTAAAGAATTATTAAAATTGTATTTAAAAAATGTTAATCAAGAATTTTCAAAATGTTAAATGTATATAGAAAAAATGTTGACCATTCACGCAAAAATAATTAATCTTGCATTTAAAAATATTAATCAAGAATTTGGAAAAGTATTGAATGCATATAGAACAAAAGTTGACCATGCGTTAAGAAAAATCATGTATTTGAAAAATGTTAATGAAGCATTTGAAAATGCTAAACATATGTCTAGAAAAAATATTGACCTTGTATTAAAAAAAGGTTAATATTTTATTTAAAATAATAATCAAGCATTTAAAAATGTTTAAAAACATATATAAAAAAATGTTGACCATGCATTCAAAAATCGAAAAAGTAAAAAGGAAAACCAATCAAAACCAAGAAACAAAGGAATAACCAATAAATAAAACTAAAAAATGAAGAAAAGAAAAAAACCAACGAGAACCGAGAAAGAAGCAAGGAAAGATGGATAAAAAAGAAAGGAAAAAACTAGTGAAAATCGTGAAAGAAACAAAGAAAACTGGTGAAAAAAACAAAAAAAAAATAACATTTAGAAAACCAGAAGAAATGGAGAAAATGGAAAGAAAAAGTAAAATAAAATAAAAAAAGGGGAAGAAACTAGTACATCAATCACCACTAGCGATTTGATTTTCTTGATCTGAAACAGCGAAAGAAAAAAAACAGGCCGGCCAAGAACGAAAAACGGGCCGGCCATGAACGAGAGCGTTAAGAAAAATCATGTATTTGAAAAATGTTAATGAAGCATTTGAAAATGCTAAACATATGTCTAGAAAAAATATTGACCTTGTATTAAAAAAAGGTTAATATTTTATTTAAAATAATAATCAAGCATTTAAAAATGTTTAAAAACATATATAAAAAAATGTTGACCATGCATTCAAAAATCGAAAAAGTAAAAAGGAAAACCAATCAAAACCAAGAAACAAAGGAATAACCAATAAATAAAACTAAAAAATGAAGAAAAGAAAAAAACCAACGAGAACCGAGAAAGAAGCAAGGAAAGATGGATAAAAAAGAAAGGAAAAAACTAGTGAAAATCGTGAAAGAAACAAAGAAAACTGGTGAAAAAAACAAAAAAAATAACATTTAGAAAACCAGAAGAAATGGAGAAAATGGAAAGAAAAAGTAAAATAAAATAAAAAAAAGGGGAAGAAACTAGTACATCAATCACCACTAGCGATTTGATTTTCTTGATCTGAAACAGCGAAAGAAAAAAAACAGGCCGGCCAAGAACGAAAAACGGGCCGGCCATGAACGAGATATAGCCTTTGCCAGTGTGGAGGCGGGAGGGGTCTCATTTCGCATCTACCTGGCTTTTTCAGCCCATACGATTTGATAGCCCATTGCTACAGTACTTATTAATTGCAAGTTTGCAACACACCTGCGTCCTCGAGAGTCCCTTCTCGACGCCCGTGTGCGTCAATACGACCTCCTTTCGCTAAAAGGGCGCGCAAAACGGGCCGGCCTGTTAGCAGCGTCCAATGTAAAACTTCGAAAATCAGGAAAAAATTAAGTTAACACATGGAGTCGAACTCACTACCTCGAGGAAGGAAGCACCGCCGGGACCCAGTTGAGGTAGCAACCGTGCTCTTCTTGATTGCAGCGCCAAGGTATAAGTACAAAGGAGTAATGACAGATTCGTTTTTTCCTTCAAAATTTTCAGTTTTTCTTGAGAAAATATGAACAATCTTTCTTAATAAATGCGAATAATGTTTGAAAATGTGAACACATTTCAAAATTAGAAAAAACCTTTATAACAAAGAAACGTGAACAAAAACAGAAAAACATGAACAAAATTCTATATACGCTGAAAATTTTTAAGTGTACGTTGAACTTTTTTATAATATACACTGAACAATTTTTTAATATACAATGAACATTTTGTAATATTAATTTAATAATTTTCGAATACACATTGAATATTTTTGTAAAATATGCTGAACAAATTTCAAATACACAGAGAATTTTTTTTAGTATTCATTGCACAAATTCTTAAAACATGATGAACTTTTTTATAATGTACGGTGAACGTTTTTATAATATATCATGAACATTTTATTAATGTATGATGAACATTTTTGTAATACATGATGAACTTTTTTATATTGCATGGTGAAATTTATCATAATATATGGTGAACATGTCTTAATATACGATGAACATTGTTGTTATACGCGGTGAACACACAAAAAATGAGAAGAAAAAACATAAAGGAAAATAAAAGAAAAGGAAAAAAGAATGAAAGGTAAAAGGAACAAAAAAACCATCACCAACTGGACAAAACATTGAAAAGCCGAAGCAAAAAAACTACAGAAGAAAAACGAAAAAAAAACCCCGCAGGAAACAGCAAAGGAAGCAGCAGCGAACGAATAACAGGCAAATCCCGTACGTGGGCCGGCCCAACCGGACGATCGCCTCAGCGAAGGCACGATCTTTTGACGCTAACGAGCGTCAAATAGGATCTGCCTGCGTCCTCTGCATCCGTGCTATTTCCACGACGTCTGCCACGCGCCTGAGCCCGTAACTGCCACCAACGCGCGCTCGACGAGAGGAGAGACAGAGATGGCGCAGGTCTGGGCGGTGTTCCTGGCCGTGGGGTCGCTCGCCATCGGCATGCTCGGGGTGCTCGGCGTCTGGCTCTGCTACCTGTTCCAGGCCGTGGCGTTTGGCCCGCCCCCCGCCCCGCCGCCCGAGACGCCGGAGACGGTCGACGACGACGACGACAAGAACGGGCTATCAGAGGCGGAGCTGAGGCAGCTGGGCGGGGTCGTCCAGGCGGCGACCCCGAACGGCGAGGAGGAGGAGGAGGAGGTGCTCTGCCCTATCTGCCTCGACGCCATGGAGCCCGGCCGCGCCGTGCGCGTCCTCCCCGGCTGCAACCGCGCCTTCCACCAGGACTGCGTCGACCGGTGGCTGGCCATCTCGCCGCGCTGCCCCGTGTGCAACATCTGGGCCACGCCGCAGTCGCCGCGGGCCTCGCCGATGGCGGCCAAGACTGCTCCGGCTCCAGGGTGCTGACATGGGCGCGGCGCGCGCGCGTTCTTGGTTCTTGACGATTCTTGGTCTGGCTCTGAACCTCTGATTACGAAGCCTTCTTGACCAACTCTAGTTAGTTTTCTTGGCTCTTGTGAGTCCTTGTCTGCTAGTACATGGTTGTGTATAGGATTCTTGAACCGGAGACTGCATGTAGTTACTGCGATTCTAGAAAGAAATGAGTAGGCTTTTTGCAGATTTGGTTCCTTTTCTTCTATATCAGATCGTCACATTTGGCCGCATTGGGTCTGTTTGATGAACGAGAAGCAGTAAATGCTGTGAATGAAGATAACAAATTATGATGTTTGATAGCATATCGATCCTATTGATCCGACGTTCTTCAATTCTGATTTTGTCGATTTTGATTCTTCCTTTGAGCTGTCGGTTGAAAACATACTGCAAACGTGTGTTTCAGAATCTGAAGCGGATACTAACATTTGCAGCCTGAGATTACAATTTACAGTGCTAGCGTTATGCCTTCATGGTTCTTTAATCAGAAGATCAGCGGTTACTCTTCTGCTTAAGTTAATTTGCAATTAATTTTCAGATCAAATGCTCCATAGTTGGATTCTTGTTTCCTGTTCTGTGGCATATTGTTATCTTGTGATATTTGTGTGAATTGTGAGTACTAGCAGAGCTTGAAGCTTAAATTTCCTTTACATATTGTATGGTGTTTTGCCCTTTCCTCAAATGTCATTTTTTGTTCAGAATTGGGCATCACTATCTGTGGCTCGTTAGGTATGGTCAGATGCTTCAGAATTTAATTTACTTGTGTGAATGAGTCATGGAGCTCATAAGCTCTTAGAAGGCAATGCTCAAGTTTCTTGGTTTTGGACTTGTTGCTGCTTTGCCAGACTGCCCTCCCATGCTATTCTTTCAGTCTAATAAGCTAATCCGCGGCCTGCTGTGTTAGGCTAACGACGTAGGTTTCTCTAGTTCAGATAAACGAACGCTTGTTCAGCTAAGTGTACTGGGTACTGAAAATGGGAATTTCAGATGCTTTTTAGTCAGGTATTTGATCACCAATGGTACAGTTCATACAGTCATACTCCCTCCGTTCCAAAATAGATGACTCAATTTTGTACTAACTTTAGTATAAAGTTGGGTCATCTATTTTGGAACGGAGGGCTTCTTTATGATGTATTCTGTTACACTAACCAATGTCCTCACTGATCGGCTTGAAGTAGGGCTTGTTTTTTACTCGTTCCGTCCTGTAATGTAAGACGTTCCTGAGTGGCTGTTCTTATCATTCAGAAATCAAGACGATCACTTTTAACCAATATACAAAGTGGATGTGGCGGTTTGAGTTAAAAATCTCTCGAATTATGAGCGACCTTTGTCGTCCTTGAACTTTCGTGTTAGCATGTGAACTTTGCAAAGCATTGTGTGACGATGATCCGGCGCTTGTATTATTCATGGAGGGCGAGTATGGTTCATTGTTCTTTTGGAATAGCTCACCACTCATGCCGAATGGTCATCAGAGGGTGTTACGTTTCTTGGTAATTATCCATATCCAGTACTCTTTCAGTGGAGATGTGTATTTAGCCTGTATTAAGATATTTCTGGCAATCATTACAATTAAGTCACATGATCCCAGTGGCATGGCTATAATTCAACATCAGCAGTCTTAACGCACTCACGGCAACCTTATATCCTAGGCCCATAAGGACAAGCAATTGCATACTCATGATTCAAACTCGGATGAAATCATTACGCGAAAGTGAAAGAGTTTAGAATAGAGTGCACCAAACGGTACGTACATGTACATCCCACTAGGCACTAGCAACATTCCACTAACTAGGAGACGGGAGTTGGATAGTACACGTACAATGGTTGGTGCTTGCTAGAGGGGGTCCATGTTAGCAGAGTGCGTGCACTCTTCCTGAACAGAAGCTCTCCACCGGTGACTCCCAACTCCAAAAGCAAACACCAGATGCTCAAGAGACCGATGGTTGACAAGAGTGGATAGACACCTGACATATCACTCTCCTCATAAGCTTGCTGAGCTGAACTCAACTCTATAGAGAGGGAGAAGATGATCAAAGGGTGCGCGGCCATGAAGATGATCAAAGGTCCTTGTGTTCGCCGGGGAAGGATGGCAGGCCCGGTCCAGAGCATCACCCGGGCGGAGATCGACCGTTTCTGGAGGAGAAAGAAGCTGGAGGAAGAGGAACGCCGGCTCGATGACGAGAAGGAGGCTGCAAGGATCAAACTCAAGACTCTCAAGGCAAGTATACTGTTACCCCTCATCGTCGGTCAAGAATACTCTGTTAATAATTTGATGATCCCATTTCATTTACTACCTAGTTTATACTTAACTGCATACCCGCTTTAAATCGAAAAAAAACAGCATAAGCTCTGTAAACCTTAGTATGACATTATTATACAGGTAGTACATGGAAAGAATATTGTATGACAGTGTCATTTCGATACCTTTGCCATTTGTGTTTGTATAATTAATTTGGATTGCTCAAACTCTGTTAAGAGCAGCAAGAAGATTACATGCTTTTTGTACAAAGGATAGACGGGATTATAGACGAGAAAGCAGAGACAAGCGAGATGATGGAGGAGGGAGAGATCGCCAGGAACATTGAGATACAAATTGGCATCAAGCATTGGTAAGCTATTCTTTTTTCTTCGTTCTAATGGTGATCTTGACATGGAGGGCACACCTTTACAAATTACAACGTCTGGCCATATTTCCGTAACCGATGAAAAACAGAAACTATGGAACTACATACTAACTTCTGAAAGTTTGGAAGTGCAGGTGGAGGAAGAGCAGCTGCGCATATCTAAATGAACCAGCAGTAGCATCCGTTGATGATAACAGCAGTTGGAAGGCGAACACCGGATATATTCCGCAGAAGATACAATTTAGGTGCTCCCAGCCAGCACTTTACCAGATGAACGTGGCTGCTTTTGGGATCTTCTAAATGCTGATGCCAAGGATAAAATGTGAGCCATTAGGATGCGTTTTCCTTATGCGTCTCAATATGAATTTGAGTCAGATAATAAGTTTAATGGAAAGGGTACTTTTGAGTAACAAAGAGCAGCCTTATCATTTCACATATTTGGGGATGCAGTGAATTTTAATGAAGCTCTTCTATGTTGCATAGACTACAAGAACTTGTTGGTCCTCAAAGCATCATACAAGCTAATTGACTAGAATGCATATTCTGCCCATGATATGGACACTCAAAATATCCATTAGCAGTAGAATGCAAGTTCTAACATATATGAGTCGTGATTTATTTGAATCACTGCCCTTCGATGACAGCCATTATATGCAGGATAAGCATGCACATATGCGTGTTTGAAGCTCAGAGCCCCAAATTATGATATATATATGTTGAACTGGTATGGGCCCTAGCCCATCAAGATCTGTCTCTTGGGCCCAAGCCCATGAGAGGTGCTGACCTAGAAGAGGAGCCCCTCTTCCCCCTGCCCCGGTGTGAGCCGCCAGACACGAGAGGAACTACTCGTGAGTCACCAGACACCACCTGCCCTCCTCTCTGTAGGTACTCCCCCTCTCATCTCAACATGGTATCAGAGGCCAGCGACGGCGGGGCTTAAGGAGACGGCGGCGACGTCCGGCGAGGTGGCGGTGGATCTGGCGCGCGCGCGGGAGGCTGTAGAGAGCTGCACGCACGAGAGACGCGGGGAGCGGCCCGGCAGAGCTGCGCGGGCGGCTGCTGCTGCTGCTTCTTGGACCGGAGGCAGAGCCCCTGCTCGGGCTCTTCCTCGTCCTCGGGCGGCTGCAGAGGAAGAGGAGCTGCTCGGGGTGGTTGCTGGCGTGCTTGTGCTGAGCGGCAGCAGGCAGAGGAGCAGAGGAGGAGCACTAGTGGAGAGAAGGAGTGCGTGCATCCTGCGTGCGCTGTGGTGCTGCTGAGCGGAGAGTAGAAAGGGGAGTGATCGAGAGGAGAGGAGCTGCTGCTGGGCGCTGTGGTCCTGGAGGCTGCGTGTTTGCTGCTGCTGACTCTGTTGCTGCTACTGCTGGTGCTGCTGAGGGGGAGAAGGAAGAGGAGGTGCTGGAGCTTATTCCTGCGAGGAGCTGCTGCTGGTTGGAAAGAGAAGAAGAGGTGTTGCTGAAGCTGAGTTGCTGCTGGTTGGAAAGAGAAGAAGAGGTGTTGCTGAGTTTTGCTGTTGCTGCTTATCCCGCCAAACAATGGCTGAACCAACTGGTCTTGCCGAGGCTTTGGAGAAGCTCGCTAAGATCCTCGCGGAGTCCAACTCTGGGGCCATCGTTCCTCGACAGGGAGTGGCTCAAAAGCTTGAAATGTCGCCCCTGGACATGAAGCTAGAGGGGGCAACAAATTATTTGAGCTGGTCCAGAAGGGCTTTGTGGGCTGTGGAGCAGAAGGAGCTTGATGGATATTTGTTGGGCACCGTTGTAGAACCAAGGGACAAGAGTAGTGCAGAGGGCAAGAGGTGGAAGGTCATCCACTCTGTACTTATGGTGTGGTTGTTGAACTCCGTGGTGCCCTCCATTGGACGCTCTGTGGAGGGGCTATCCTCACCTGCTGAGATATGGAAGATTCTGTCCACTCAATACTCTGGCAAGGGCAATGTCATGCTCATTGCTCAGATTGAGGACAAGATTAGGTTGCTGCGTCAAGATGATGGCATGTCAGTGATGACATACGTGGCAGAACTGCAGGCTCTGTGGGCTGACCAGGATAACTGTGATCCCTTGGAACTCTATGATGCGGCTTCAATCGAGTCAGGGCATAAGTGGATGGCACACAGGCGTGTGCTGAAATTTTTGGCTGGCCTCAAAGGTTGCTTTGATGGCAGGAAGGCTTCCCTGTTGCACCAACCTAGTCTGCCTACCATTCCTGAGGCTATTGCAGCGATGACTCAAGAGGAGGTGCGCCTATCCCTTGAGCATGCAGACATGAAGGTTGTGCCAGCTTCGACATTTGCAGTCACTGAGCGCATGGAGTGGGGAGATCCCACCAAATGTCATATCTGTGGGGAGGTAGGTCACTGGAAGAAAGAATGTCCAACTCGTGGCAGAGGCAGGGGATATAACAGAGGGGGAGCAGGCAGAGGTAGAAGTGCTAGAGGCAGAGGTGGATACTCAGAGACCTCATGGAGCCAGGATTCTAGAGGTAGAGGTGGCTACTCAGGACACTCAGGGGGTCAGAGGGCTCACATGGCCGTTGCAGGAGACACTGGGACGTCCAAAGGCAAAGATGTAGATGATGTTGTCTATGGAGACTTTGCTCACTGGGCCTCCACTGATGAAGGTAATCCGGAAAGAGCATCTCTTGCTACTAATGAGAGTGCTCCAGAGTGGGTTCTTGACTCTGGAGCATCTAAGCATGTTGCTAGTAACTCATGTGTGTTCGAATCTTACACTAAGCATCCTCCCTCTCACACGGGCACTATACAAACGGCTGATGGCACAAAACAACCAGTCATAGGGGTTGGTACAGTAAAGTGTACTCCGACCATTTCCCTATCGTCAGTTTTACATGTGCCAGCCTTTCCTGTCAATTTGGTCTCTTTCAGTGCACTCATTGATCAAATGGACTGTCGTGTGATCCTTGACAAGTTCGGTTGCTTGATTCAGGTGCGACAGACGAGCCAGACGGTTGGGACTGGCACCAGGCGTAGGGGGCTCTGGTACATGGACCAGGAGGTGCAGCCGGACTTGGTGTGTGCTGCGACCATGAAGGATAAGGAGAAGTAGGCGATGATCCATCATTGTAGGATGGGGCATGTATCTTTTGATAAGATGAGTAGAATATTTCCGGATGTTATGTGTGGAATAGGCAAAGGCAAGCTGACATGTGATGCTTGTGAATATGCAAAACACACACGGGCCTCATATGTGAGTAAGGGGCTCAGGAGCATATCTCCCTTTATGCTTATTCATTCGGATGTATGGACTAGCCCAGTGGTGTCAATGAATGGGAAGAAGTATTTTGCTACCTTTATTGACTGCTATTCTCGCATGACTTGGATTTACTTGATGCGTCACAAGGATGAGGTGTTTAGCTGTTTTCAGAACTTCCATGCTCTTGTAAAGAACCAGTTTCAGGTACAGGTCAAGGTGCTCAGGACGGACAATGGAACGGAGTATGTGAACAACATTTTTGGGGCTTTCATGGCTGACCATGGGATTCTTCATCAAACTTCATGTTCGGACACCCCCCCTCAGAATGGAGTGGCCGAACGGAAGAATCGTCATGTTCTTGAGGTCGCTCGGTCGTTGATGTTTACCATGAATGTGCCTAAGTTCTTGTGGGATGATGCAGTTATGATAGACACATACTTGATCAACCGAACACCTTCCAGGATACTTGGCATGAAATCTCCGTCTGAGTTGATCATTGGAGATAATAAGTTTGTTGTTCCCCCAAAGTTGTTTGGCAGTACATGCTTTGTTCGTGATCACCGACCATCTGTTGGCAAGCTTGATCCTCGGGCAGTGAAGTGTGTCTTTCTGGGATACTCGTCTAGTCAGCAGGGGTATAAATGTTGGTGTCCCTCTGAAAAACGCAGGTTTGTAAGTATGGACGTTACATTCAGGGAGTCTAAGCCATTCTATGGTGAGCCGACTGATCTCAGTCTGTTGTTTGCAGAGCTTGACCACCTACACCCTGTGCATGATGGTCAAGAGGGGGAGAAGGATGTGTCTCATACTCACGGTGATCCTGTGGACATTAACACTGATAATGATGTGCAGGCTCAGGTTCAACCAATAGTGGGTACAATTCCGGTTAGTACCATCACTGATGATGATGTGCGGGCTCATGTCGAGCCAACTGTCGATACACTTAAGATTGGTGCTCTCCAGGTTCCTGTTCGGGATCGATGGCAGACGAATACCCTGGTGTACTCTCGGCGGCAACCACAAGTGCAGGGGGAGCAGCAAGGCAGGGAGGCAAGAGTGCAGGGGGAGCAGCAAGGCAGGGAGGCAAGAGTGCAGGGGGAGCAGCAAGGCAGTGAGGCAAGAGTGCAGGGGGAGCAACAAGGCAGTGAGGCAAGCTCATTTGACATAGTGGAGCTGCCCATTGCGTTGCGAAAACCTACACGTGAAGCGGCAAGGAAGGGTGAGGTAGCAAGGAAGGCTCTGCCAAAGGATGATGCTTGTGATGACCTTGATATTGGCAATTTTGTGTCTTACAAGGCTTTGTCACCTTCATATAAGGCGTTTGTTGCCTCTCTGCAAACTGTGTCTATCCCTAGGGATTGGAAGGCTGCAAAGCAAGATCCGAAGTGGCGTGAATCGATGATAGAGGAGTTAGAAGCATTGAAAAAAAACAAGACATGGGTGCTAACCACATTGCCGGCAGGAAAGAAAGCAGTGAGTTGTAAGTGGATTTTTACTGTGAAGCAGAATCCTGAGGGCAAGGTGGAACGGTATAAGGCTAGATTGGTTGCCAGAGGATACAGTCAAACTTATGGAATTGACTATGATGAGACATTTGCTCCAGTTGCAAAGATGAACACGGTACGGGTATTGGTCTCGTGTGCTGCAAACTTTGGGTGGAAATTGCACCAGTTAGATGTCAAGAATGCCTTCTTACATGGTGACTTAAAAGAAGAGGTATACATGGAGATACCGCCAGGTTTTGGCACAGAACAGACTACGGGGAAGGTATGCGGGCTGAAGAAATCCTTGTATGGTCTGAAGCAATCGCCGAGGGCATGGTTTGATAGGTTCAGACGAGCTGTTTGGAATATGGGGTATGGCCAATGTAATGGTGACCACACGGTGTTTTATAGACACACTAATAAGAAGATCACCATTGTTGCAGTGTATGTTGATGATATCATCATCACTGGAGATGATGAGGAGGAAATAAAGAGAGTGAAGGGATGTCTGAGCAAGGAGTTTGAGGTAAAAGACTTAGGAAATCTAAAGTACTTCCTTGGCATAGAAGTGGCCCGGACAGAGAAGGGAATATCTTTGTGCCAACGAAAATACACCTTGGATCTTTTGAGTGACATGGGCATGATGGGATGTCGTGCAGCCCCTACTCCAATTGAACAAAATCATCAAGTAACAGCACAATCAGGTGAGCTAGTGAATAAGGAAGATTATCAGAAGCTGGTTGGGAGGTTATTGTACTTGTGTCATACCAGGCCTGACATTACGTATGCCGTGGGGGTGGTGAGCAGATACATGCATGAACCAAGGAGAGGGCATCTTGATATTGTTCACAGAATCCTGAGATACTTGAAGGGGACTCCGGGTAAAGGGTTGTGGTTTGCGAAGAGTGGACATCTTGAGGTGGATGGCTATAGTGACTCTGATTGGGCTAGCTATCAAGATGATAGACGATCAACTTCAGGTTACTGTGTGTTTGTGGGAGGAAATTTGGTGTCATGGAGAAGCAAGAAACAGAATGTTGTGTCTAGATCAACAGCAGAAGCTGAATATAGAGCATTATCTCAAGGGTTGTGTGATATGCTCTGGGTGAAGCACCTACTATGCGAGTTGAAACTCTTGAGGAAGGGACCCTTAAGGGTGTGGTGTGACAATCAGTCAGCTATAGCCATTGCTAATAACCCAGTTCAACATGATAGGATGAAGCATGTGGAAATTGATCGCTTCTTCATTAAAGAGAAACTTGATGCTGGGATCATCAGCCTTACTCATGTCAGCTCTGGGCAGCAGTTTGCAGATTGCTTGACAAAGGGACTGGGAACAAAGGACTGTAACTTGGCGTGTGACAAGATGGGGATGATAGATATCTACCATCCATCTTGAGGGGGAGTGTTGAACCGGTATGGGCCCTAGCCCATCAAGATCTGTCTCTTGGGCCCAAGCCCATGAGAGGTGCTGACCTAGAAGAGGAGCCCCTCTTCCCCCTGCCCCGGTGTGAGCCGCCAGACACGAGAGGAACTACTCGTGAGTCACCAGACACCACCTGCCCTCCTCTCTGTAGGTACCCCCCCTCTCATCTCAACAATATATATATATATATATATATATATATATATATATATATATATATATATATATATATATATATATATATATAGTACTCTCCAACAAATTACTGAACTGATGGGGTTTGTGCTAGTATGTGAAATCAAGCAAATAACCATGAACAAAAACAAAATGATAATACACCATTTGCAATCTAAACATACTGCCGCCGTAACAAAATAAGTGGTTTAAGTTCAAATTTGAACTAAAACCACGACATTTATTTTGAAACAGAGGGAGTAGTAATTTTGAGTTCTTGGCCATACAGGAACGTATGAGAGAACAGTAGAACACAGAAGCTAACCAGAAAGACTGCCAAAAGAAATTAGAAGAATGAATGGCACAAGAGCATCATGAACTTGTTACCAATCAGAGAAAAAAATTGCTTATGCAATAACCCCAAGGAAATATTTGACTCTCATCCAGGATTACCCTTCAAGCTGAACGAAGAACAATAAAAAAAAGGAAGTTTCATTCCAGGTGTAGTACTTAAAACAAAATAAAGAAGGTAAATGTGGAATTAGCAGAAGGGCAGAACACACAGATAGAGCAAAACATTAATATAACATGTACTTTTTTGCAGTTTTAAGGTATAACCCAACAAAGATCCAAAGTATGTAAACATTCAGCGCTATGCAAAGAATCTAACTAAAATAAGTAATTTCCGGATTTTGTTGTATCATCTTACGGCAACATGATGCCAAACACACTAATTTATGCATGTACGATGCAATATATGCAGTAGAAGCTAGAATTTCCCAGTCTGATAATGGTACAAAGAACAACAAAACCAACTGCCATCGTTGCAGAAGATTCCCAGCATTGCATCCCTCGATAAGCAGATTTCACAGGTAAACCGGTTACAATATTTCTGAATATGGAAATACTTTGCCTATGCAGCAGGCTTGTAAATATGATGACATAACTGAAGGGCACGAGAGGCCTAGGCCACACCAGCATACAACCATACAACCTCTCTGGCATCTGATTTCAATCGAAAGAACACAAATACACCACACACAGAAAACACTCATCATGCTATTGAACAACAAATACGAAAGGGTTGTCGCGATAAAGTGCAGGCTCAATCCCAGTGTTTTATTAAAAGTAATCTGGACGTTGTGACATAACTCTCAACAAGTCCACTCTCTATCGCTGCCCATCTAACCTGATCTGCATTCTCAAATAAAAGGTTGCACAGATTTTGCACGAAAAGTCCAGTACACCGTTTTCAGCTTCTGCTGTCTGTGAAAACTGAACCACATCAAACAATTGTTTCGATGAATTCAAGGGAGACAACTGAATATTGAAACAGTCCCCATGATACAGCTCAAATTATCCGTTTCCTGTCATGTCAAGCATCTCATCAAGACCCTTCAATCTCTGTAGTCCTTCACTAATTAAAAACTTAATCTTTTGCTTATCATCACAATTGCGATTTTTTTCAATCTCCGCCCGTACTGTCTGCCTCAACTCATCTGGACAAAGAACAACAAACATAATTAGCAAACTTCAAAGATAACAGCACACAGCAGATAAAAGAGCAAGGTTTAAAAATGACAGACCACGAGCATGTTCAGGGGCTCGGCGAGTCATACGCAGTGCCTGCCTATAAAATTTGAGGACACGCGCACGCAAAATGAAAGCCCGTAAATCCATGAATTGAGCCATCGGAGAACACCTTACTTAATAGAAAGCAGTGATCATGCCATTTGGATCCTCCTGACACACTGAATATTCAACAAGAATGGATAAATAAGCAGTAAGTTATAGTACTTATAATGGTATTTGGGCACTTGCGTGATGTACAATTAGTCATTTGTGTCAGATAAATCCTAAGAAAAGTTTAAAATATTCACCAATAAAAATTAAACAAGTATACTGTATACACAGATATGCTACTGCTTCTACAACAGAAATATTATAAATTGCATCACCAGGCATTACCCATTCTAGAATGGCAATTATGCATCGATAATATATTTTGATGTTCTCAAGAATAACTCCCGAGAGTGCCTATGCTCTTCAGGAATGAAAATCAGCTGATAATGACCAGCCACTCAAACTTGTGCACCATGTCCAACTCGACACGCGGCAAAGAGTAAAAATGCACAGGCTACACTCGGGGAAATAGCATTATGTTATTGACACTCAATAGCCTATCTGGAACAACACATTTCCATCGTACTGTCATGGTCTTATTTTTGCTTGTTCAACAACCATGATCACAGAAATAAGTATGAGTCGGCGACTCGAAAAGCAACTCGTCTGGGTTATTTCAATGGACAACTGATAACTGCTCGTGTCACTCCAAAAGGAACTCCCACCAGCCTCTAGACAATCCAAAGTCCATTCAGGTCACTCAAACGTCTGGCCATCGTAATGCCCAGTGGCAGACGCAGAATTTCCAGAGAAAGTATAAGTTTACAAATGGAAATCAATGTCCATGGAGCAATTAAAGTACGAATTGGTTATACTATTGGGAATCAACAGGAAGGGTTAAAAGGGACAAGTTAAGGGGGGAGGGGGGATTAAGGAGGGCTGCCTCGCTGCCGGCCGCCGCCGCGGCCGGAGTCGCCGTCGATTGCCGGGCTGGAGAGGGGGGCGGCTCTGTCGGTAGCAGCTTACAGAGAGGGGGCGGGAGAAGAATGGAGAGAGGATGGAGGGAAGCACCTCGATGGAGGACGCCGCCTGGTCGCTTGAGAGGGCACCGCTGCTCCCCGGGGCGAAGAACCAGAGAGGAAGCCGGATCGAGCTATGGCGGATCCGGTGACCGGCGTCGGGAGGTCGACGCTCTGCATCCAAGCCGGGCCATGTATTTTCTTTTAGGGGTACCAAGCCGGGCCATGATGAGTAGAGAGATGGGC